GAATTACCAGTGGCATTGCCTAGTGGGCATTTGTCCTGTTTGCTTTTGCCAACTGATCAAGTCAGCAAGAGCAATTGTGACAAATGCCCACTTTTTTTTCCCCCAAAGCTTTTTTCAAAAGCTTTAAAAAGGGACTGTCCCAGCCAAAATGGGATGTATGGTCACCCTACTGATGACAGGGAAGGACCCTCAGTCTATCTCTTGGCACCTGTAGGTAGCTCAACCTTGCCACAAGGATTTCAGTATCTCTATCTTTTTACTCCTGGGAGGGGTGGAAATAAGGTCTATGTCCCTTTATGGCAAGGATGTTTGGTAGGGGAGCTGGACTCTCCCACTCCACTAGGCTCTGACCCAAAGCCCTATGAGAGGCAAACAACGTCAGAAACCAGGAAGTGCCTGGGCCACTTCCTACCTGCCCCGGCCTCACAGTCCATTTTAAAATATCAAAGGAAAAAAATAAGGTAACTGAACCTTCAGCCTGGTGGGTCTCAGCTGGTAGTCTCTTCCTCCCAGGTGGAGACTTTTGTGGCAGCACAGGTCAGGAGCTCTCAGGGTAAATCTGTCTTATTCCCCCATCTCAGTTGTTTGGCTCCCTTTTTAAGCTCCTTCCTCCAGCTGGAGTGTTCAGGAGGACAGAGTCACCTGGGCCCAGAACTGCTCCTTATGCCTTCAGTTCTATATGTCTATGAGAGTCTTTCTTTATGTATGCTCTGCTTTGCAGTAATTATTTTAACTTCTCAGTGCTCACTGGAAAAGGTCCTGCTTCCAATGGACATTTTAGGATATGGAGCAATTCCAATTCTGCCTAGTTCAATTCAGAAATCAGAACAAGAGTGGAACTGGAAACCTTGTGTAGCGAAGGTGTTGTACTTACAGTACAGTCCATTCTCTGAAACAGAAATGCTGCAGAAAGGAGGTGTTGGGGAAATTTTATCCAACTTATTTTGCTGTCTGGAACACTACATAAGCTCTCAGTTCACTGGGAGCTTCTGAGCAGACCTCCACTTATTACAATCTATGTTGCCACCATTTCTAAGAAAAAATCAGAGGACTATGGACACTAGATATTTCTAGGAAAGGAGACTAAGAATGTGGTCATAGAGGAAACAAAAACCAGAAGGTTCCATCACCAAAATAGTTTCAGAAAAGGATGTCTAATACTTGGGTTATATTAAATATCAGCACAGCTTTTCTGTTGAGGGATGAACTGTAGCATTTAAATATAAATATAATATAATTATAATATAATGATAATATTATTTTATATTATACTGGTCTTTTGAGACCTTTGCAACAGTACTATTTTAAAGTGCAATAAAGAACTTTTAGTGAACACCAGCTTGGTCTACATGGACTAATTAATGCACTAACATGTTAGTGCACTTTTGAAATCACAACACACAGTGCGTATTGCTGCTCTGTATGGACAAGACCCTAAAGTGTGATTTTTTTTTTTTAAACTGATTTAGCTAAACTAGTGCAAAACACTGTTTGCACACACTTAGTTTGGTTTAAGAGGGCATTATTTTACTTTAGCTTAAGTCAATTTGAAACAGGTTTAAGCTACACTGAAATAAGCCACTCATAAACTGAAAAAGTGTCCACACAAGAGTTTGCACCAGTTACATGAAATCGGGTTAAAACCTATTGAAGTTTAATTAGTGCAATTTCTGTTTGTAGAAAGGCCTCTGAGTCTGTATTTGTAGGTACAGTTACTTTGGATTTCTCTAATAGGCATAATATGAAATTATTATATAAATTATAGCCCTGAGGTGTAGTAGAATGTTATGCTATTAAGGAAGATGATGTAGCAACAGCATTGTCTACAGGAAGCTTTATGAAAAGCTCAGGAAAATCATGACATTGTGCATACCATCTTGGGGAAGTATAGCTGAGGTATACTACTGAGTCCTCTTTTGGCCTTGTCCCTCAATATTTATCTTAGCACAACTGTTCTATTCAAGGACACCCATTAATATTCAAGAACAAAAGATTTCCCATGGAAGATACTATGTTTTAAGAAGTTATCCTCTCTTAGACTGGCAGGAAACACAGACATTGTTCTATTCTGTGAAAGGATCTATTCTGCAGAATACACTTGAAGAACACTGGACAACCCAGTCAACTTCTGAATAAGGACCATATAGCAAAGAGATGTATCCTACAGCAGGATCCAGGTGTTAAGTGACAATGAAGTGTTGCTTGGAATTATTGTATTTCTGATCAGGAGTCAGAGTTGTTAGAGATCATGTAGGATGGGCCTGTTTGCTGCATTCCTCTGTAGTGCACTGATGCCTTGGGATACCTATTTTGAATGGATTTATCTGATTAACTACAATCAGTTGACGAGAAAAACAGCCATGCTGTTGAATGTCCATGCATCTGCAACTCAGTGAACATTGATTTTTAAATGGGAGCTGTCAAGCAGAAACTCCTGAAAAATCCTATAGAGAACCACTCTGTATATTCAAGCTAAGAGCCGATGCACTCATGTGGGCTACACTCATGCAGGCTGCACTATGTGGTAATGTACGCATCACTTTAACAACTATTTTATCTTTTTTGTTAATTCTTTTATCATTGTTATTTTATCTGTTCTCTGCAAGTTACGACTTTAATTATTTCTGTTTGATAGTATGTACATACAAAGTAATAAAAAGTATCACGTCCTCCTGAGAACTTAGTGCTTCTTGCTGACCTATAAATACTGCAAGCTTATTTATACTGTTAAGTTCTGTGACAATACTTTCATTCATTGACCCACACATTTTTGTGAAACAATGCAAATAATTACTCAACAAAGAGATAGAAATTTTTGTGTGAAACACCCAATCTTTTACCATTGTGGAAGGAAAATACAAGGTGAAATCAAAGCCCTGTTGAGTAAATGGGAGTTTTGCCATTTACTTCAATAGGGCCAGGATTTCCTCTACTGTATTTACCCCATTGCACCTTTCTCCTTCCTCCCCATTTGCTAGCAACTTATAAACTGCTGCTCCCTTTAAAGAATATAACTCTCAAACAAGATGGAGGAGGGAAACAGAGGTGGCTTGATACTGGTATCTATTGTATTTCTATGTATTTAATTATTTTACAGCTTTCCATCTTTCCGTATTTCTTTCCTTCTTGTTTCCTCTAAATCTAGTGTAAGTTGCATTCCTGTAGCACACCTCACATAATATATATAAGCAAACCCAAGAAACCACTTAAAAAACTGTTCTTTTAGTCTTTTCAAATAAAAACCTAGTATAGTTGGTATAAATGTACGTAATTCTAGAAAAGCATATGATGTAAAGAAAATCATATAGGCAATCCCTATAAGGCAAAGCATAACTTGTCCATGGTGATAACGGTGTACCCTGTGACAAGTAAAACAGGGTCCTACCATGCTTTACAAGACTTGAAAATTATGTACAATTTTCTTCCTTGGCGAGGTTCCTGGGATTTGGGGAGTCCTATGGTTGGAGGTGCCTGGGGCCATCCTGATCAAAGGGGTCCTCTAAGTGCTATTATAGACTTCTAATAACATTAGGAGCTAACAAAACATGGTTTTCTATTGGAGAATTCTGACTTTGATTGTAATCTCAGTGATACCCTGATGAAGAGGACAGTTGTTAATGAGGAGATACCAGTGGTGGTTGAGAGAGTTATGATAAATGGATGAATCTAGATCTAAGGATGTTGTGGAAAGCATATGGTTTGACCCATTTTGTCTTGAACTTTGCTTGGATTCCTTTTCACAACAAACAACTTTGTGAAATATCTGCTTTCAAAATGGACTCTACACATGTTGGGCTCAGTTCTCCTGTCACAGCCGGGAAGTAGTTAGCCAGATCTAGTGGTCAGAGTAGGATTCCACAGTCACAAGACAAAGTCAAGAGTCAGCTTGGTCAGGAGATCAGAAGCAGGAGACAAATTGGAGATCAGAACTGGGAGTCAGTGAGGCCACGTCAGGATGCCAAGGAAACAGAGGCAGGAGTCAACTGGAGGTCAGGAACCACAAGTCAAATGCCAGGAGTCAAGCCAGGTCAGAATGCCAGGAAGTCAAGCCAGGGGAGCTAGAGCCCTATTGTTCAGACAACTTCCTGTTCCTGCTGCTGGATTAAAAAGAGCCAGTGGGGCAATTAGCTGTTCTAGGACTCTGCCAATAGGACCTCAGGCAGAGCCTCAGGGGCTGGGTTTTGTGGTCCTAGGTAAGCAGATGTCAGTAGGCTACCAGGTGGAGGGTTGGAGCAGGGTCACTCGCATAAATCGAAACCGATTTTCAGACTAGTGAGTCATGACACCTACAAGTTCTCTATACATGGAACTTTCATTGAAGCCAAAGGGAATTCCATGCAGGAGGGTTTTCAGGACTGTGCTTTATATGACAAAATGAAATTTGTTTATTCATCAATCTTTCTTACTATATAGTTGAGAAGAACCAATGATCTAATAAACTTATGGGTCATGAACAGGTTCAGAGGTCACAACAACTCTCCTTTTCTTTGCAGCTAGATGTGGGAAGGAGGGGAGTCCTTAAGCCCATGAATTCTGAGAATTCTCAAGCTGTCCCCAAGCAGTCATCACAAATATGAGTGATGCAACTTGGAAAGTCAAAGCTGAATTCTGCTCAGCTATGTTGGTGTATTTCTAGAACAATTCTGACTCAACTGAGTCAAAAGTAGAAACAAAATTTTGCCCTCAACTGTTAAATGGTTATTCCTTGTCAAAATTATTTCTGAAGAGGAGTTCTCTTGTATTGTTTAAGGGGAGAACTATGCATAAAGCAAAGGATACAGTGGTACTGTATAATGGTTGTATTATGTATATAGACAGCCTCATATATGTATTAAAGGGAAACTGCTAGAAACCTTCTCTCTCCATCTCCATGTTGAAATGAAATTAATACAAATAGCGTAAAATTTTATTTTTTCCTTGGCTAGTATTATTGTATTTGGACAATTTTCTTTATTAGTTGGGTTATTCAAGTTTGTGTGTTTTGAAATGCATTGTTTCAGGAGGAACTTCAAGGACCTGGAGGGATTCAAAGCAGGGGCTACTTTTTGTTCAGGGTATGGTCAATTTTTTCTTTTTCAAACTGATTGTTCGATTTCAAAAAGTACGGTATTCAACATCAATGAGAGCCGGGGAGCTTGTTTCCATTGTAGCACTTATTATAGTTAAGGATCTATCTGCATTCCCGTTATAAACACCTAGCATTTTTAGAGGTGCTTAGCACCTGGTACTTCTATTGAGCTCTATAGATAAATGCTACAGGGCAGGGAATGTGTGTTTGTTTGTACAGTAACTAGCAAAACAGGACTTGACTAGAGCCTGTGGGTGCTACTGCAAAAGAAATATTAAATAAAAATCAATAGGTGTTGTCAGTAGTAGGCACTTTTCAGGATTAGATAATAATTGGATTGTAAATATTTACCCTTGACGGAAGGGTGTCAGTGTCTTGACATGGGAACATTTTCTCCTACATACCAATTGAAAAATGTTTTTAATCTACTAAATGAATATTCTAAGATCATGTCTAAAACTGATTTTCTAAAGCTTTTCCACCAAAAATACTGTAAGAAGTTTTGGCATGCTGTCTTAGTGTGTGCTGTATGGACATGTTCCCGTGCTGTTTCTTAATAAATGATCAATTATCACGTTTATAAGCCTTGAACTAATAAGGATTTAGAGCACATGCAGACAGACATAAATCATCCTTGTCTACCTGGTAAATAAAACAGTATTTCTACATGCTACATATAGTGCTATGATATATACAGACACCAGTAGTTTATATTGCAACAAGATACACACTAGGCCTGATTTTCCACTTTGCTTGTATTTTGTCTTGTCATTTGCATTTCAGCAAAGTGTGTATAAAACATACCTCATCAAAATATACTTAGTCCATCCTAAACTTAAGCAGTTAAGCCTTTTTTGCTGTTTCTTAGCATAATGGATTAAGTTAAGGGTGACAAGTCATCCTTAATATTGACTTTCCTGGTTTTTGTTGGGTAAAGTCTTAACATTTTTTTTTCTATTTAAATACAAAGCTGGCTGGCAAACGGTACACATTTTGTATATTACATTTCTCTAGTATGAAACTTGGAGTTAGACAATTATGATTAACTGAAAGGCCAAATAAAATTCAAGGGTGACATAAACAGTGGTGTATTTTACCTGTCAGATAAAAGGTGGTCATTCTGGGCATGAACCAGCTCCCATTACAGTCAATGGCAGTTGTTCCATTGACTTTAGTGGAAGCTGAATCAGCCCCTCATTGAGTGTGCAAAATTAGTGAAATGTACACCAGTGGGAGGGTGGAAAGGATTTAGCAAGAAAGCAATTAACAGGATGGTGTAAAGTAAATGAGACCTTGCCAACTCTGATATACGACACATGGCTTTGGTCTAGGGCAGTGGTTCCCAGACTTGTTCTGCCGCTTGTGTGGGGAAAGCCCCTGGCAGGCCAGGCCGGTTTGTTTACCTGCCACGTCCGCAGGTTCGGCCAATTGCGGCTCCCAGTGGCTGTGGTTCACTGCTGCAGGCCAATGGGAGCTTCTGGAAGCGGCATGGGCCGAGGGACGTACTCATTTACCAGTATGTCCTTGCAATGTGTCCTAAAGTCACCAAATTCAAATTCTAGAGCACTAAATAGAGAAGCAAATTCCAAAGCCAATGATGCCTCAGTGATAATTCCCTGCTGCAAGCCCCTTTCCATTTACAGGGGACTTTCAACTCAAGTGCCTCATAGGACCTGAACTGTACCTGTAATATATGAGGAGGAAGAGCTGGTAGGCTCTCCAATAGATAAAACCCAAACCATTCAAGGTTTAACAGTCAAAAACAATACCTTACAGTTAACCCAGATCAATCACTGATCAGAGAACACAGGTGTGAAGTACTATATGTTGTGGATTTGTGTATTCTGCACTGGCAGCGCTAGACAATAGCAAAGGTTTAGTCCAGTTTGCAGTGCATTGCAATAAGCTAGCCATGAGGTAACAAAGGTCTGGATAACCATGAGGAGAGCTATGTGAACATGGAAAGGGGAGGAAAGAATGTAAAGGAGCTCCTTCTGCCCTCTTCTCCTCCCCCTTTGCAAACTCAAACAGAACTGGGCCCAGTCTGGCCCTCCGTTTTTAATGGTTGTAAATTTGCTGTATAAACAGTTTTCAGAAGTTGAAAAGCATAGACAACAGTGTTGATTTCAGTCTCTTTAACTGAGAAATTATCCTGTAAAAGATATGGTATAACTCAAGAGATTTGCAAAATGCAGTCAATACTCTGGGACCTTCTTCTTTAAACCCTGGATGGTTTTACAGTGTTAATTTCTTACGAAATATTTGTTTTTTAGCCACGCAATGGAAGGAGATCAGCAGGTTTCCGCTGAAAAGGTATTTATTTCATATTTTTAATCAAGATGCACATCCCAATCCTGCTCCCTTTATACAATTAAACCAAGGTCCACATCTTCAAAAAATGTTCACTAATTTGGGTACCATGACTTTAGGGTAGCCATAGATCCCTATGGCCTGATTTTCAGAATTGCTGAGCATCCACATCTCAAATTGAAGTCAATGGGAGCTTCAGATGCTTAGTATCTCTAAGCGTATGTCTACACTTGGTGCTCCAGGTGTGATTCCTAGCTCAAGCAGACATACTTGGTGCTAGCTGTCATCAGGCTAGCACCCTAAAAATAGGGTAGCTGTGGTAGCATGGGCAGTGACTGGCACAGGCTGGCCGCCCCAAATATAAACCCACCTGGACATGATGGGCACATACTTGGGGTGAGTAGCCCATGCTACCACAAATACACTACTATTTTTAGTACACTAGCTAATGAAAGCTAGTGCTGAGTATGTGTACTTGACCTGGGAATCATATTCCCTGCTCAGAGTGTACCATAGCCTAAGAATCAGGCCATAGGTGTCTCAGTAAAAAAAAATCTGAGGAACCCAAAATCTACGGACAGTTTGGAAAGTTACTACTTACCCGTGACAATATATGAACCAGACAGAATCCAACTTAACCTGGAACCTGAAAGTCAAGTTTGTAGAGCTAGTGCCAGTGACTGTTTGGGAGGAAAAAACAAACTTGTAATCTGTGAAAATTTCATCCAGAAATCGTTAAAAAAGAATGAACAGGAAACCCCACAATCTCATTTTTATAATTACTTTTCTGAGTAGAACTTCACTACAAATCCCATTAGCATCAAGGAGAGTTGCATGTGTATACTGAGACAAGAACAGAGCTTTGCCCAAATCCAGAGGTCCTTACAAAGACACAACTCCCATTGAAACCATGTTTCAGGACTTCAGGATTGGACCCCAAATGAGTTAGCTAACTGAAACTTCAGAGAGGTACATGAAAGATTTCCTTTACCAATACTATGATTCAGTATTTGAGTATCCTTTTTATTCCCTTTATTGTATTTTAGATATGTAGAATCACATCATATAACTGTATAAACAACTACTGTTTTATTTTTTTTCAGGATTTTTATTCCTTACCTAGAACTAATGCTGTGGGAATGCAGAATACATGGACATAGTGTTTTGCTCACAAAAATTATTCCTTACCACTTGTACAATTCTTAAAAAACCAGTAGAATGTAAATGTTCCTAAATCAGATTTTGTTAAAATTGCCAATGTTTCTTTAATTTCTTGAGTATATTAAAAGCATCTTAAAATTATTCAGTTGATTTCTAGTGTCATGATGTATACAGTTGTGTGTAATAAAAATGTAAACAAAAAAATTAGTGTAAGATCCTTGCATGCAAAAAATATTGTCCCTACCAGTATTGCTATACACTTATTTATTTATTTATTTGGTAAATAAAAGCAATCAGTAGAGTTGTTTTAAATGGAATGTTTTATTGAGGAATTTTCAATTTTTACATGATGCATTTTGAAAGTAGGCATTTTTAAGTTAAACTAACACAGCATAGTGTGTGTATGTGTGTGTATGTATATATAATATTTCTATGCAGATTCAGAGTCAAATAGGCTTATCTCTGTACATGAGAGCACTGAGTATGTTCTCGTGCCTAGATAAAGTAAGAAACTCCATTTAAGTCAAGAGACTTACATCCTTGTAAAACATGTGAAGGAGAAAAATCAGACTCTATACACACATGCACGCGCACACACACATATATACATAAAAGCCAGCCAAACTTTCCCCATATGTTGATTTTTCTAAAATAGTGCATGAAATCTCACTCTTCCAATATGATTTTCATTGCAATGCCATTGTATATAAAACTGCATTATTACAAAACAGTACCTGAAGAGCCATTAGACTAGTATGTAGTTGGAGAGAATGCAAATATGTTGGTTAAGAAAACGTTCCAAGTAATCATTTCAATCACTTTTTAGGAAGGATGAATAAAAAAAGTGGTGCCCTTTTCAAAGAGTGTTTTCTCAACCTTGTTTAATTTTGATTGGCAAAATGAAACAATTTGTACTATTTTAGAAGAGAAATAGCTCTAATTTATTTAAGTTAAAATATAATCATAAATTAATTGTATTAGCTGGCATAACACAAATGCATTATGGCCCTGATTTAGAAAAACACTTAAGCACATCGATGTGGAATCTCTCTCCTATGTGGAGATAACAAATTCTTCCCACAAGAGCAAAGCTGGCCTCTCAGTCTTCATCGCTTGAATTCACATGTCTCAGGGTTTGTTTTCATTAACAAATTAAGTTGTGTCAGAGCATGATTTTGAGGGATTATGGTAATTAACATAATAGTAAACATAACATCACTCAGTGTTGACAGGTATTGTTGTGTTTAACATTGTGTCTACTGGTCATGGTTAGAGTTCTTCCTCGTTACCCACTACCTGCGGACACAATAATAAACACAACAGTCCCTGTCTCCACTGAGTACTAGTTTGTGTTAACTCTGTGGGCTACAATAGATCATGAGGTAATGATCCACCCTGAGCAAAGGCCAGTATGTTGCTGAGCAGCCCAGGAAGGAGATTGTGATTTTTCTAATGACCTTATGGTCTCACCATTGCTTCCAGGAGGAAGTAAGCTATCCTGTGTCTATATGTGGTACAGTATCTACCAGCACTGCTACACTACCCACTGGCCTGCATGAGGGGTAGCAGAGATGTAGCTGGTTTGCGGAGCCTTCTTCCCCTCCTGCATTTTGAGTAGTGGTATGTATAGCTGGCACAAGACAGTAAGGAAGTTATCACAACTCTTCAGGGTCATAATCTAACAGGATGTAAGTTCCCAGTGTAGCCAAGACCAGAGTGCTTAACATTGTAGTAGTCCCCTAGTCACCATGACTCCTCAAAGTCATGCTGTAACACAACCTAATTTGTTAGCAAAGAGATACCTCAGAGTGATTTGCACCAGCAGAGCATAGTGCTCTCTTCAATCTCCCCATGTGGAAAATCCATGCTCTTCTTAGCTGGAATTTTGAATTACTTCCTGATATGGGCTGGTCTCATTAGAGATTCCTTAGATGAACTAATCAGTTCAAATCACTATTTATCAAAAGCCAGCATGGTATCAGAAAAGATACACTTTTTTTTTAAACAAAACAGTCATAAAACAAATATTTGGAATACATTGCTAGACCAAGTTGTTGTGAATGGATCCAATAAGCTATTTGTATCAAACAGCATAAACCAAAATACCATATTATTTTCACCCTCTTGTTTTGTTTTTAGTTATATTTTTTAATCCACTCTGAGTTCTTGAAATGGCAATTCAGCAAAAGAGGAGTGGTCTAGTTTCAGTCTTTGTATAGATTTGATAAATATTTCAGACACAAATATTGTAGGCCATATTCATTCCATCTTTAGGTACAGAGGGAATAAAAATAGCTGAAAACCCACTAAAATAGGCCAAAATCTGTTTGAAATTGAGTAGCTGCCATACTTTGCCTGTTACATATATTGCTTCTTGAAGAGAATGGTGAATCTCTTGGATCAGGTCAGCTGAGACTCAGAGGGTATGGACTGGAGATCCTAAGCTGTAAGGACATATTATCTGAATGTCCTGTGAATCCACCATTTACAATCAGTCCTAGTGATATAAAATACATAAAGAAGTTACAGTAAAAGTTGCTAAATATTAACCACCCTTTGGTTTATATGAAATATACTGGAGATTCCAAATAACCATGCCAGATAGCTTCATTAATATGGTACAGAAAAAAGGTTCTAAAGGACTGATGCCACCATCAATTTTAATGATCACGCAGTCTACCACGTGCAGCTGTTTTTACTGAGCGCCACTGTCGCACACCCTTCCCCACCTCCCTGTGTGTTGCAATTTAGCGTTGGTGACGGAGGGAACCAGCTGCATTGGTCCATTAATCGCCTTCTTCTGACATAACCCAGGGAATGTAGCCACTGAGGTGGGAACTCAGCACAGAGAACGTGCCAGTTTTCGGTGCATCTGGTGTAAGGGGTCACATTATTTACACATTGACTCGCGCTATGTATTTCCACATCCACCGCAAACGCGCACTTCTGAGGTGCACACGCGAGGCCCTTCGAGCCCTGAGAGCTTGGGGGAGCGCGGGATGCAGCGGGAGCTGAGCTCCCGCGCGTTTCACGGCGGATGGATTTGCCCCTGAGACAGCGACAGGCGAGAGGCAGCCCAGCGGCCCCCTCCAGAACCCGACTGAGAGAAGAGCGTCACGAGCTCGCGCAGCGGCCGTTAAACCTCGGAGCGGGCGCCCGTTCGCGTTGTAGCCCGGCCAGGTTCTACCAGCCGTCGGGGACACGGATTTGAATACGCAAATAACCGTTCTCATGGCCCCGCCCACTCCTCTGTGTCTAAGCGGAGGCAGTTCTAAGCGGCCAAACAACCGTTTGGCCTCGCGCCTGCTTCACCCCAACGTGCTACAGCGTCAGCCAAGGCGGGATCTGCTCTGCGGCAAGGACAGTGCCACGCGACCCCCGCCCCTCCGTCCGCCCGCAGGGCCCAGCCCTGACACACCCCTCCCCGCACCCGCGAGTGACACCCAGCTGCATCGGTGGGGAGAGCGAATGCCCCCCCCATCCCACCCCCGTGTGGGCCATGCAGGTGAAAGCAGAGCCTGACTCGGAGAGGGCAAGCCGCCGGCACTGCAGGAGAACTGGGGGTGGGGATGAGCCCAGCTGGAGGGGGAAGTGTTGGGGTGCGAGAGCTGAGCTGGGGGAGGGGGTGGAAAGGGGAAGAGTGAGTGGGGGAGGAGAGGGGTGAGCTAAGGGGTGGGGGTGGGCGTCACCTGTATGCAGAAGTGAGAGTGGGAGCTTCATGAAGGTGAGGGAGCTGTGGGGAGTGCAGGCCTTGTGCACCTACAGGCAGGGCCAGGGGGAAGATGTGTAATTTCAGGCAAGGCGGTGTCAGACACCGAGCAGTCCTGTGAAGATGCTGTTGGGGAAGCTGGATGAAAAGGGTCACGCTGGGGGGCTGCTCAGCAAGGTGTGAAGCTGTACAGCGGTGTGGATGGATGTGTATGAGCAGATGTGCGAAGGTGTGGATGCTGCAGCCAGAGGTGGGGGAAGCTGGGGAGGGAGTATGCACTGGGGAGGGAGTGCCACAAAGATGTGGACATGGCGGGGGTAGCAGGGAAGCTGCAAGAAGGTGTTGAAGACTTGACTGGATGGAGGAGTCGGTGTGATGGTTTTCAGGATACCCAGGACTATGAGTCAGCTTGTTACCCACTGCCTCTAGTTGTAGGGTTTCTTGCCTATGGTGACTGGAGGTTAGCTCCCTGGCATCACCAGCCGTAAAGTCACTCAGTCACTCTCCTGCAGGCTCTGTCAGCCATGTCTTTGCCTTGCAGGTTAACAAGAGGTCCCTTTGTCTGTTTGAAGCCTTCCCCTGTGGTTTCCAGCGCCTGGTACTGGCTTCTCTCAGAAATCCCAGATTCTCTGCTCCCAAAGGAGCATTGAACCCTTAGTTTATGAGTTTTATGTTAAATCATCATTCTTGTATAACACACTGCACTTATGAGCACTTACAATAAAATCAAAGAGGGTTTACTTAAGAAAGAACAGAAGTCCCATTGGAAACATGAGTCTGATGGAAACAAATGGTTGCAATACAAAACAAAATAATAAAACAAGAACTAGGATGTACATTTATAGTTAGTTAACTTTCCTATCTAATAAAGCAGCATTTCTCAACCAGGGGTCTGGGGCTCCCTGGGAGGCTGTGAGCAGGTTTCAGGGGGTCCACCAAGCAGGGCCAGCATTAGACTCACTGGGGCCCAGAACAGAAAGCTCAAGCCCCAACCCTGCCACCGGGGGTGAAGTCGAAGCCTGAGCAACTTAGCTTTGCGGAGCCCCCTTGGGCATAGAGCCCTGGCCAATATCCCTGTCTTGGAGTCTCTCGGGGTGCAGATCCATGTATCTAGCACCCATCCTGAGAGCTTACCCCATGTGGCTTCTCAACCCAGTCCCTGGATCCAGTGCTGGCTCCTCAGACTCACCATCCTCATCACTCACTCATCATACCTAGGGAGGTGGTAGAATCTCCTTCCTTAGAGGTTTTTAAGGTCAGGCTTGACAAAGCCCTGGCTGGGATGATTTAACTGGGAATTGGTCCTGCTTTGAGCAGGGGGTTGGACTAGATGACCTTCTGGGGTCCCTTCCAACCCTGATATTCTATGATTCTATGATTTCTAAGAAGTCCACCCAAAGGTGTGAGCTTTCTAGTTTCTCTGGTCACGCAATCACAGACATGAAGGTCGCTATCTTAAAACAAAAAAACTTCAAATCCAGACTCCAGCGAGAAACTGCTGAATTGGAATTCATTTGCAAATTGGATACTATTAATTTAGGCTTAAATAGAGACTGGGAGTGGCTAAGTCATTATGCAAGGTAGCCTGTTTCCTCTTGTTTTTTCCTCTCCCCCCCCCCCCCCCAGATGTTCTGGTTTAACTTGGATTTAAACTTGGAGAGTGGTCAGTTTAGATGAGCTATTACCAGCAGGAGAGTGAGTTTGTGTGTGTATGGGGGTGGGGGGATGTGAGAAAACCTGGATTTATGCAGGAAATAGCCCGACTTGATTATGTAAAGAGTTGTCACTTTGGATGGGCTAGCACCAGCAGGAGAGTGAATTTGTGTGGGGGGGTGAAGGGTGAGAAAACCTGGATTTGTGCTGGAAATGGCCCACCTGATGATCACTTTAGATAAGCTATTACCAGCAGGACAGTGGGGTGGGAGGAGGTATTGTTTCATATTCTCTGTGTATATATAAAGTCTGCTGCAGTTTCCACGGTATGCATCTGATGAAGTGAGCTGTAGCTCACGAAAGCTCATGCTCAAATAAATTGGTTAGTCTCTAAGGTGCCACAAGTACTCCTTTTCTTTTTGCGAATACAGACTAACACGGCTGTTCCTCTGAAACCTGTCATTATGCAAGGCACTGCATTTAGCCGTATGGAGTGGAAATCTATCAACTGCATGAAAAAACTTGTACAGATACAGACAGACATCATCTTCCTTTCCAAATGCAAACAGATGGACATCGTACCAAAAGGACTGAAGGTAAAAAATCCATTACAATCTACATACCACACATACTATGCTGACAGCTTGTGCCTCACGCTCTCAAAGAAACTGCGGAATCACCTGATCAAGATCCTCTACAGCAAACAGGGAAAGATTAAGAATGAGCTCTCAAAAATGGATACTCTCATAAAAAACCAACCTTCCACACAAACTTCCTCGTGGCTGGATTTTACTAAAACTAGACAAGCCATTTACAACGCACACTTTGCTTCTCTACAAAAGAAAAAGGACACTAAACTTTCTAAACTACTACATGCTACAAGGGGCCACAGCAATGGTTCCCTCACCCCACCTAGCAATATTGTTAACCTATCCAACTATACTCTCAGCCCAGCAGAAGCAGCTGTTCTATCTCGGGGCCTCTCCTTCTGCCCCTCCACCCCCACGAACATGATACAGTTCTGTGGTGACCTAGAATCCTATTTTTGACGTCTCCGACTCAAGGAATATTTCCAAAATACCTCTGAACAACATACTAATCCACAGAGGTCTCCCTACCAACACTACAGAAAGAGGGATTCTAGATGGACTCCTCCTGAAGGTCGAAACAGCAGACTGGACTTCTACATAGAGTGCTTCCGCCGACGTGCACGGGCTGAAATTGTGGAAAAGCAGCATCACTTGCCCCATAACCTCAGCCATGCGGAACGCAATGCCATCCACAGCCTCAGATACAACTCTGACATCATAATCAAAAAGGCTGACAAAGGAGGTGCTGTTGTCATCATGAATAGGTCGGAATATGAACAAGAGGCTGCTCGGCAGCTCTCCAACACGAGTTTCTACAAGCCATTACCCTATGATCCCACTGAGAGTTACCAAAAGCAACTACAGCATTTGCTCAAGAAACTTCCTGAAAAAGCACAAGATCAAATCCGCACAGACACACCCCTGGAACCCCGACCTGGGATATTCTATCTACTACCCAAGATCCATAAACCTGGAAATCCTGGGCGCCCCATCATCTCAGGCATTGGCACCCTGACAGCAGGATTGTCTGGCTATGTAGACTCCCTCCTCAGGCCCTACGCTACCAGCACTCCCAGCTACCTTCGAGACACCACTGACTTCCTGAGGAAACTTCAATCCATCGGTGATCTTCCTGATAACACCATCCTGGCTACTATGGATGTAGAAGCCCTCTACACCAACATTCCACACAAAGATGGACTACAAGCCGTCAAGAACACTATCCCCGATAATGTCACGGCTAACCTGGTGGCTGAACTTTGTGACTTTGTCCTTACCCATAACTATTTCACATTTGGGGACAATGTATACCTTCAGATCAGCGGCACTGCTATGGGTACCCGCATGGCCCCACAGTATGCCAACATTTTTATGGCTGATTTAGAACAACGCTTCCTCAGCTCTCGTCCCCTAAAGCCCCTACTCTACTTGCGCTATATTGATGACATCTTCATCATCTGGACCCATGGAAAAGAAGCCCTTGAGGAATTCCACCATGATTTCAACAATTTCCATCCCACCACCAACCTCAGCCTGGTCCAGTCCACACAAGAGATCCACTTCCTGGACACTACAGTGCTAATAAACAATGGCCACATAAACACCACCCTATACCGGAAACCTACTGACTGCTATTCCTACCTGCATGCCTCCAGCTTTCACCCTGACCACACCACACGATCCATCGTCTACAGCCAAGCTCTGCGATACAGCCGCATTTGCTCCAACCCCTCAGACAGAGACAAACACCTACAAGATCTCTGTCAAGCTTTCTTACAACTACAATACCCACCTGCAGAAGTAAAGAAACAGATTGATAGAGCCAGAAGAGTTCCCAGAAGTTACCTACTACAGGACAGGCCTAACAAAGAAAATAACAGAACGCCACTAGCGGTCACCTTCAGCCCCCAACTAAAACCCCTCCAACGCATTATTAAGGATCTACAACCTATCCTAAAGGATGACCCAACACTCTCACAAGTCTTGGGAGACAGGCCAGTCCTTGCCTACAGACAGCCCCCCAACCTGAAGCAAATACTCACCAACAACCACATACCACACAACAGAACCACTAACCCAGGAACTTATCCTTGCAACAAAGCCCGTTGCCAACTGTGCCCACATATCTATTCAGGGGACACCATCACAGGGCCTAATAACATCAGCCACACTATCAGAGGCTCGTTCACCTGCACATCCACCAATGTGATATATGCCATCATGTGCCACCAATGCCTCTCTGCCATGTACATTGGTCAAACTGGACAGTCTCTACGTAAAAGAATAAATGGACACAAATCAGATGTCAAGAATTATAACATTCATAAACCAGTCGGAGAACACTTCAATCTCTCTGGTCACGCAATCACAGACATGAAGGTCGCTATCTTAAAACAAAAAAACTTCAAATCCAGACTCCAGCGAGAAACTGCTGAATTGGAATTCATTTGCAAATTGGATACTATTAATTTAGGCTTAAATAGAGACTGGGAGTGGCTAAGTCATTATGCAAGGTAGCCTGTTTCCTCTTGTTTTTTCCTTCCCCCCCCCCCAGATGTTCTGGTTTAACTTGGATTTAAACTTGGAGAGTGGTCAGTTTAGATGAGCTATTACCAGCAGGAGAGTGAGTTTGTGTGTGTATGGAGGTGGGGGGATGTGAGAAAACCTGAATTTATGCAGGAAATAGCCCGACTTGATTATGTAAAGAGTTGTCACTTTGGATGGGCTAGCACCAGCAGGAGAGTGAATTTGTGTGGGGGGGGTGGAGGGTGAGAAAACCTGGATTTGTGCTGGAAATGGCCCACCTGATGATCACTTTAGATAAGCTATTACCAGCAGGACAGTGGGGTGGGAGGAGGTATTGTTTCATATTCTCTGTGTATATATAAAGTCTGCTGCAGTTTCCACGGTATGCATCTGATGAAGTGAGCTGTAGCTCACGAAAGCTCATGCTCAAATAAATTGGTTAGTCTCTAAGGTGCCACAAGTACTCCTTTTCTTTTTGCGAATACAGACTAACACGGCTGTTCCTCTAAAACCTAGTTTACAGTGTAATTCCTTCAAGAGACATGCGACAAAGTTTGACACACAATACACCCAGACACTTTGCACAGAGTGCTAACATCATTGCTTTTTGCTTAAGAAATAAAGCACAAGAGAGAGTACAGCTCACCTAGGAAACAACAAATTTCCTAAACACAATGCCCCTCACTACATT